GAGGCCATCAGCTTGGAAAATGGTAAAAATGAGTCAGATGTACTTCAGTATGAAGTGAGTGCATAGATGTGACTACTGTTCACATTTAAATGGAACATTTTTACATTTATTTAATGCCTAGGCTATGCATTTCATATCACATCTCAGAGAGAGAAAACTTAAAAAGAGCTAACATTTTAGGATAAACATTTACAGAGGGATGACAGTTATCAAAGACATCGACAGGGACTCTTGCCTTTCTAAAACTGTGTAAGTACACTTCCAAATATTTAAAGACATACTCTTGAATATGAAAAGGACATCATCAGAGCTATTTACACAAACACACACACAGCTCAGCTGAGATTTTCAAACAAGCCTGTCTATCTCACATTGAGGATTAACCACTAATTACACTGTAATAACAGGGCTAATGATGCATCGTTTACAAGGCAAGATTTTTATACACAGCTACTTGCTTAAATAGCCTACCCTTAATAACTGGAGATACTACCAAATGAGGGCAATTTATTTTATTCTTAAATTTTTCAGAATATGCAGACTTCACAACACCTATCTCAGAGTATCCAGTCTCACTGGATTCATCAATCTTTCCTGCCCTCACAGGCAGAATGAGTTCTTCATAACAAATCATCACAGGCTAGTGTCAAACAAATGTGGATTTGGGGGCAGTGATACTACAATAATTCTGAGCAACCCTAATGATCCTCATTTTGGTTTTCAGGCATCAAGACATCTGAGAGGATTTGAGCCACTCTCTTGTTTACATGGATAACAAACTCCGAGGGGATAGTGTAGCCAGGGGGCATAGGGGCAGAATCAAAGGGCAGAGGCCATAATTGCTCATCACCACTCCTCCTGTTCAGGTCACCCAGGAAAGGCCATTTAACCGCCAACTGTGTTATTTATATTAAAACTTTTGAGAGTAATATCAACATCCCTTCCTTACAGAATGCATGTTCTGAGATGCATTGCTAAACATTTAGTACGAGAAAAAAACAAATGTTTCATGTCTTAAATTAAGAAGAGAGCTGCTTGAAACCTTTGTTGTTTTCACTGCACGGCTTCCCAGAGCCATTTATAAGCTCCTGTGCCACGGTTCCCAAGATGTGATTGTAGCACAATTCTAGGTTTATCTGATGATAGACATGTCCTCAGAGAGCACTGATTCACACCGCCCACAATCCTGGTGAGTGCCACAATGTGGGAAATCCTACATTTATGGCCTCGGTGTATATGAACTGTCACAATCTGGAGGACATGCTGCATGGTGCGTTACCTTCGTATCACACTACCACAAATTGCCACCACTGAGGTGGCTGAAAACAACATGAACACAGTACCTTTCAGCTCTATGTGAAAGTCAGATGAGGGGCTCAGCGGGTGGAAATCTAGAGGTGGACAAGCCGTGTTCCCCTCTGGAGACTCTACAGAGAATTGCTCCCCATCTTTTCCAGTTTTAGAGGCTTCTCATAGCCCTTGGCTGATCCGTCACTTCTTCCATCTGCCAAGACAGCAGTGCTGCCTTTCCCTGTCTGCTCTACTCAATTAATTCCTGCTGACCACAGACAAGAAAGGCCTCAGCTTTGAAAGGTTCATTGTGAAGAACCAGGTGATTGGGCCTCCTGGGTAGCCCAGCCCAATCTTCTGACCACACTGTGGGCAAAGTTCCTTCTTTCCATATAAGGTAACATAGTCACAGATGACAGAGATTAGAGTTTGGACACCTTTGGGGGCCTATCACACATAGGTTGGTAAGAAAACCTACAGTTCTCACTAGCAGACAATAAGGAAAGCAACAATTCCTATTGTGGATTTTCTCTGTAACTATGACTTATCACATAACTACAGCAGGAAAATCAATATTATGGTCTGACTGAGAGATAAATAACACAAGGAATACATTCTCAGGCACCAAAACACACAGGTAGAAGAGAAAGCACAGGTGTTCTGGGAATTAGATCCTTCACAAACAGAGCCAGGTGACCCCTTGACACCAGACTGATTCTATAAATGACACACTTTGCAATAAAAGGCACACCCCCCTAATCAGCTTCATGGAAACTTTCCTTGTGAATGGACATACGTACAGGTAAGAAAATGAACACTTACGTTACTTGCTCTCATCAAGCTAGCAGAGAGTGCACTTCTAACTTCAAAGGCTGAGTTCTTAGTCCTATAAGTAATTCTGTGTCCTTTAGCCTCTACAGTTCATATCTTCCTGTGTCTCTGCTTGAACTCAGGTTTTACACATGTGGTTCCATAAGACTATGTGTGTGTGCAATCACGCATGCTCATTCAACGCTTTCATTTGTAATATCACGAAGCTTTATGTCTTGAAAACTTCTCTTTCTGTTCTGCTCTCTGATCAGAGATGGAGACTTCTGACCTGAGGCAGGTATGTCATGAGTACCTACCTTAAAGTCCTATATCTACTTTCAAAATGTGGCCAGGTATATCAACTGTGAAGTAACTTGGCAAAATGCATAGAGCACTACAAACCTTATCCTGTCATCTTATGAGACATTGATAATACCTGCACTACAAAGTCACTGTAAGGATTAAGAGGCAATTCATGTTAAAGCCTCTAAGACAATCAAGTGGTGACTACTGATGGATGCATCACTCTTTGCTATGTCTGCCTGCACAGAAACACTCCTCAAAATTTGCGTTTCTAAGAAAAATGCTTACTGACTACCTTTACTTATGTCAGTGGCATTTGTACAACCAACAGCTACTGTTTAATTCACTTCCTATGGTTAAGGTTTGGTTCATGCTCTTCAAAACAGTTTTCTCCTAAAGAGCTGAGCCTGGCTAGAGAACTAAATTCTGAGACTTCTTGAAATTTGCTAATCACATCTGGTTTAGCTTTAGACATTTTCTGGGGTTTTGCCAGCAGCCAGGACATTTTAATGGCTACAATAAACCTCAAAGCCTCATCAAATCTTTGCTGTATGTGTGAAAATTATGTCCTCTTCAATTAAACATTCAATCTAGGCTCACACCAAGGCCTTATGGAAAAGGAGGTGAAACCTGAATGGAGCCTGAGATGAAACGAACCGCCACAAATCTGGCCATCTTGCCAGATGGTATTTAGAAGAAAAAGAAATTCATTAGAGAACTAACAGTCTGTATTTTCTTTAAATATTTACTAGGTACCTTTCATGTCTTAAAAACACTGGCATCTCTAAAGATTAGCAGGGCATTTTTGTTTAAATATTCGATGTGTGTGGGGGAGTCACAGTTTCCTCATCCCCCTCTTGGGGACTTCACATCTTTTGGTGAAGTCCAACACAAAGGAGAAAACTAATGGAGGAACCACTCAGCTTTCCTTCATAAGGGAACTCCTGCAACCTCAGAAGCCTCTGTGAAATCTTAAAATGGGCTGAATGGGCCCTCCCTGGTGTACAATGGGTTTGAACATACTGAGATGTCAAGGGGAGGAAGCTGGTTCAAGGTGCAGGCAGCAGAAGTGGGAAAATCTAGCATAGATTAGGGTTCTGTTCAAAAGACTACAAGAGAAGGACTCAAAGGGTTCCTAAAGGGTGAGGAAGGTGTGGGACTTCAGGGACGGTAATGGAGTAAACAAACAAGGGTCTTCGGTGTTACTGCTCACCTGCAGCCATCCTGAGTACTGGCTTGGACCCCCATTCTACTATCAAAGAGGGACAGAAAGAACTGTCACGTGACAGCTCACTCTGCTTTATCACAATAGGTGTCAAGCGCCTCAGCTCAAAGATGAAACTGCCCATTTTTTAGGAGATGAGAAAGAACGACCACAAGCTCATATATCATATTCCTGACCGAAGTGTCCATCAGGTTAAATTTATACTCACAACCACATCAACAGGGAAAAAAAAAAAAACCCACATGTTCCTTTTAAAATAATTTACAAGGTAAAAATAATCACTTGTAACCACTATGCTTATTTAAGCAAGTTTTATGCCCAAAGTTAGAATAAGTGGCTCTCCTTACCACCAGGGACACATCTTTCCCACTTTACTTTCATTTCCAAGTTGTTCTCTGTCTAAGACTTAAGTTTCTGAGCACTGTTTCACAATAAACATTTTTAAAATGTTTATTTTATGTCTTAGTGTAAAAATATTCCTGGTTCAAGCTCTTCATTTCCTCAAGCTCTCCTTTTGGCACCACCGGCTCCATTTCCACATTAACACGCTCCCTAAATCCTCTGTGGAGCTCTTCACTTGGACTTATACAAGATCCAAGGCAAGTATTTATATTCCTGGACAAGAAGATGTCTCCAAGTGAAAACACAAGACTCTAGAAATGCCAAAGGAAAATTCCAGCCCCAGAGAGGCATATTTTCACCTTTCAAAAAAGCCAAAAAGGGCTTTCAGCATTTTGTTTTGAATAATTAAACCTGTAAATTAAAATAAAATGTAAATTTTATTTTACAAGACCAAAGCTTGTCACTGTGGGTCTTGTCACTGTGTTAGACCCTCCTTGCATAGGCCAGACACATAGGATGTGTATGGGTACAAGAGATAAATTATATACGCGAGCATACGAAATAAGCTTAGACATTGCATGAATTCAAATCAGATAGACGTGTCAGCGCTTGGTACTTTTGCCTCATTCTGGTTGTGTGAGTCTAACTGCTATAAGCTTCCTTTAGCTAATCTGTAAAATGGAATTATGATAGTGCCTGCTTACTAGGGTTGCCATAAAGATTATATGAGACCACCGGAAGCGTTCCCAAAAGGGTTGCTGCTGTCATTAAAGTCCTTTCTATGCCTTTTTGGAAAATGTGTCTATAACAGGATTCAGATACAAGAGGTAGACGGTGAACACTCAGAGAAGCTGTAGAAGTACAACAGTCTCAAACAGTGTTTGGGATGGAGAGCTTCATGGGGACTGCAGTGTACTCCAACTGAACTCTACACCAAGTCCCTTCCATAGGCGAGTCAGAAATAATCCCCTTCAATCAATAAAGAAACCAAAACCTTTAGCTATCATCATAACAGAACAGTTCCTGTTACCTTCCAGTTGCCTCTTCAGCTTTCGCAAATCTTTGATGAGGTCTTCAAACTTGACTTGGGAGGCCAGAAAGAAATCTTGGGGTTCAGGCAGGGGGAAAACACTCTTTTCGGTTCCTGCTTCCTAAAAGACATGGTAAACAATGGTACATTTTACTTTCTAATAGTCACTTTCAGTTGACTTTCCAAAGCATCTTGCATTGGATGCTCAAATAAGAATTGCAGCCATTTGCCCTGCTATTTCCAAAACTTGGACTGCTTACTTTGAAGGGCTTTTGCATCATTCACAGTGTCATTTTAGTCACTTTGGTGAAGACTCACTATGCCCTGGGCTAGGCTGTATTTTGCTTCACAAATCAAAGCGAAGATTATCAGGTATATCCTGATCCTGGACACTTTGTTTCCTTGGAAAGAGGATTGGAACACATGAGGATACTTAAATACAAAGGCCCTCTTTGAGTTTCACCTGGTAGCAATTAGATAACTCATCTTAAGGATATGTCAATGGTGTGAAGTGGAAGTTGCTGGATAAGAAGACAGTGCAGGGGAAGAAAGAACTGCCCCTTATGCCTTAAACCACTTTGCTGTGCAAGGGGGGGGGGAGGGGGGGAGGGAGGGAGGGGGGCACTGAAAGAGAGAGAGAACACATGCAAAGAAAGATCAACTTCTTAAATTTGTAAAGATTTTCTAAATCTTGTCTGGCTTTTGGCTTATTTAGGGAGTATTTACTGAGAGCATGGTTGGGCATAGTTTTTGACATCCTCCACAGCTATATCTAAGAGAGGATCTAAGCTGAGAAACATCTTAAGGGACAAAAACTTCAGGCACACTGAAAGATAAGCTAAGTGACCAATCTTTTCCAGTCTAGCTTGCTGCTCCTGGAGTTGTTTAATATAAGCTTTGTGTCTTGCATATCTCAGGCAGTCTTCAGTGATCCTTCTCTCTGCACAGACTACTTTGCCAGCTTGCCTTCACATTCCATCTTTCATACTGCTATTAGGACTAACTCCAAACTCTAAAACTACTTTACAAGGCACTTTATGATTTGGCCTCTGTCTATCTCTCCAGACTTATTTCTACCTTCCCCCACCTCTGAGTACCCCCCCCACCCCCCGCTGCCCTGGCATTCAAACGATAATAAAGCAATCTTTTGCCTCTAGGATTATCAGAACACTTATCAATAGAACATTTACAATTGTCATGTTGGCTTGTTGGTCTTCCCTACTGGACAGGAACTGTGTTGGAGCTAGGTATGGTAAACCACACCTGGCAGGTCAATAAACCTTGGTTTGGGTCAGTTGACAACACTGAAGAAAGCCTGTAAAACACTGCTGTGGGAAGTTTGGACTTTTTGAAGGAGACATCAAACTTATTTTTTTGTGGTTTCAGGAACTATCTGGACCCTTCTCCTTCCTTTAAAATCTTTAGTGTCGGCCCTGCCTGGTGGCGCAGCGGGTTAAAGCACAGCACTGAGAAGCTAAAGCTACTTCCGCATGAGTTCGATTCCCGCCTGCCCCGGAGGTGACCAC